AAGAGAATCATAAAAGTTCCAATTTATGTAACATAGTAACTGTATGTATTGTACCATTTCAACATAAATGATAAATACTTGAAATACAACAGGAAATCTGCAATGATAGAACCACAGCAATATCATCAACTGCAGGGAAAGACACTTCAAAGGATTCCCATGTTTCAGTTTCAAGGTTTATGAAATACAGGACTTTCTTTTAGGTTAGACAACAACACAAAGCCCCCCCGGAAAAGGGAAAACAGAAATCAACACACACACACACACACACACACACAAAGCCATGCAGACACAGAAGAGACACCTTCATGACTTTAAACAACTTCCAGAAGAATCAGAAGCCCAAAAATTGTTAGCTCTAACTCAGAATGCATAACACGTTTTTCTGAACAGCTCCCCAAATACATGCCAAAGGCAGCAATGCGCTGATCTTTGGGTACTGCACCATCAACAGCACAGCATCAGATAAAGCAATAATGGAGCAGTGCTCACTGACACAACAGTGAACTGCACATAGGAAACCACAATCCAATGCCCTCCAATGCCCTCAAAATGAGAGGACTTGAGAAAACAGTTTTTCATCTTAACGTACCCCCGGTATCCTGCAAGATCACAGAAACAGTCAGCAACTGAAGTTTCTTTCCAGGAATGAAGCAGATGCTCCTGCTCAAGAGCCAACAGATCAAGCATTTATGAGGCACAGAGCCAACTCCAGAGCACACAGTAGTTCTGGCAGCTGTAGATGCTCTGCAGAGCAGCTCTGGTCAGTGGCCACATGTAGCCCATTCCAGCCACGTGGATGTTTGTCTGCCCGTTTTCTTCCATCTCCAAGACAAGCTTATACTTACATACCACTGAAATCTGCGTTAAGAACAGAGTGTGAATCATGGATTGAAAATTACAGGCATGTGCCAAAGCAACACAACGTATATGGGGGGTGAGGGAGACTTTCCCCTCTAAAATATTTTAAGGTATAAGCACCTTTAAAACTGTGGTTGGTGCCCACTCATGAAAACAGACTGGAGGCTGCAGGTTTACCACAGCATGGGAGAAGGGAAGAAGAAGAGATCAATCTGTAATTTTCCACGACAAAATACACACCTTTAAAAAAAAAAAAAAAAAAAAAAAAAAAAAGTCTGTAGCATACTTAAAAAGTTAAAAATTATGATAATAGGGAAAAAAAAAGCACAGCCTCATCTTGATCACAGTGGTTATTTTCACAGCATATGTGGTAGTCCAGGTGGACCTTTTTTGACCACCGTGAAGATAACACAGAGCTGGTACTACATGATGTGAGCACTTGGTTATTTTTATTTGCTGCAGGAACCAGCTCCCAACGGGGGAGCCCTGCACCTTATGCCAGCCATTTTCACTCCTGCCTACTTCTGCATTCAGCCTTATTACCTCTACTCAGAAAGTGACCTACATATGCAATAACAAGATGCTGCCAGGAACACTGCATATGCCACATTCAAATACAGCACGTGGAAAAGACAGCTAAGCATTCTGAATGGAAAGCAAGCACTGAGCAGGAGGCTCACACCGCCCTGCATCAGCAGTGACAGAGGTCAGATAGAAGACACGACACCTGCCCAGGCCAGCCCCACTGCGCTGCACAGCTGGGAGCAGACTACATGCCCCCCTTCTGCTAAGGGCCTGGATGGTGAGCATTAAGCAACAACCACTGATAAAAAGAAAAAACAAACCCTCTTACTCAGTGAAGAGCTGATCATTAATTGCATACCATCTATTTTGCATGCTGAACAAGGCAGGGAAATCTAATCATGCAACTAATGATGTACACAATAGCAACCAAACTCTGGGTAGCTTCAGCAGCTCTTCTTCCACAGACATCACCTCAGGTTTTTTTGAAGCACTGATGCGAGCAGCACACCACCTAAAACACCACACCATCACCCACGTGTGTCACATTAACTGAACATTACCAGACACAGAAGTATGCTCCATATCAATGCATTTCTTCCCAGCTAGGCTCATACAAAGAGCTGCTGAACACATGTGATCCAGTTCTCTCAGCATCTGAATGTCACCCACATTTTTTTGAGGAACATCTATCCAAATGTTACATTCCTGATGGCAAACTCAGCCAAATTCCTAAAGAGCCATAGGCATCAGAGCTGCTCAGGAAAGGGAGCATAGGAGAGAACGATGGCCACAGCTTTGTCCTTAATCTGTTCTACCTGAAGTTTTCTGAAGAGTTTCAGCCTGGGGTGGACATCCACCCCCTGTATCCCTTCAACTTTGCGTTTAAAATTCAGACCTGAAAAGTCCTCAGCATATTAGCTTGCTCATTATGCTAACTAGGATTTTCATTTCTTGCATCCCATTCTGCATTTACAGTGAGGTGTGCAGGAGGGGAACACGTGACTTCCCAATAACAAAAATCTACTCAACACCGGCAACACATGAGGACTCCGGTTTGTCCTTGAGAACAAGACTACATTCCAGAAACATCTCCATCTGTAATCACTGGACAGAAAAGGAGAGTTCTATCTCCGAGCAGCTCTGTGGAAAATGCTGCTAAATAGAGAAGACAGGCAAGTAAGAGATGTTCCTCATTTCAGCATACATCCTGTGGTTTTCATCCTGAAAGTTTAACCGCAGTCCTTTCTAAATCACAGTCACAAGAAGAATGCCCGTTTTCTCCCATGGTCACAATTAGCACACATCCACACTGACTGAAGCCACACGGGCAACCACCATCTGTTTTTACAGCATGGTATGCAGCACAGTAGCTCATTTACTAAATACAAGCAAATACACAGCTGTGGATCATAATTCATGCTGTGCAATCAACAGATCACTGCAAGAAAGACTTCAATAAGGTACAAAGTCATACACAACTAAAAAGCTGTTACTGGTTTGCACAGAGTGGTATAGAGGTGTAGACTTGGGAAATGCTTTCCTATCCGTGCATTTCAGCAGCTATAACTGTATCTGGGGTGATGCTGCACTGAGCAGTGTCTTTAACCCAGGACGAGGAAGGTCGCATTCACTGCTGGCAGCCAAAGGGCTCTGAGAGAAGAGAGAAAAAACTTAAAAGTTCTTCCGATTTCTAATTCCTTCCTGACATCATCCCGGCTCCCTCTGGTGGAGGGCTCAATGTGGCACTTAACAACAGACTGCTGAACACAAACAGTTTTCAACCTCATTTTTCTCCTTTGTAAAATAAACCTCATTAGGATTGGACTCTCGCAGTGCTTCAGTGATGGCAATCTAAGGCAACGCTTGGTTTCTGACCAGAACCTCTTTCACGCATAAACAAAAGCAATCTCTGATAAAAAAAGGAGAAAACAGCTACTTTTATTATATTTTTTTATTTTCAGCATTAATGTCTTTGTAATCCAAAATTCTCAGGGTGCTTCGCAGTCCTTCCTTCAGCTTTCCAGGCCACAGCAGAACAATCTCCTCTCTCCGTGATGTGGGAAGAGGACAAAAGTCTCTCCCCAAACCATACTGAGATCTGCAGCTTCACAAAAGAGCAGCCCCTCAGCGCCCAGTTTCCATTTTGGTTTCTATGCATTAACCACCAAGCCTCATATCTCTCAGATGATGCCAGTGTTAACGCCATAAGACAACACTAAGAAGCCTGTGCATCTCGTACACACATACAAAAAGTCACACCAGCCTTCCCCTTTCCTCTCTATCTCCCCCACCCCAAGACTACATTACTGCAGCTACTTACATCCAACAAACCACATGAGAAGCTTCACAAATGCAGAAAGGGAGTCACATTTCGCATTTTTAGAAGGTACCATTAACATTTGTGCTACACAATGCCATCAAAATACCCGTTCTGCCCTTTTATATCAAAATTGTTTTGACTCCTGAAAATAACAACAAAGCTTATCAACATTTTGCAGTCTAAAGTTTGATTTAAAAAGGCACAGGGCATCAGCATTTAAAGAAATAAATAAAAGCTCAGCACCCAACTCAGGGTAAGAAGACTGCCAGCTGCAGGAGATGTGCCAGCTGCACAGGGAAGCCAGTATGGGTCCTTTCAGGGATGGAGCTGATTTTATTTCCAACAGCCTTCACTATGACTCACTAACTTTTTTCCTTACTAAGACTGTGAATTGCATCCTACCAAGCAGACATAAAAATTGAAAAATATATTCAAAGGTTAAGACACAGAATGCAGTTTTGCAAAGAAAACAACTCTAATTCTTCACTTGTCCTCATGTTCAGAGATAGCAAGTGTTGTGAGATCACAGCAAGAGTTACTTTTCTCTTTTTCTAAGACTACATTCCAAATAACCACACAGCGCCTACCATGGATGATGAATGCAAATCAAACTACTAACTACTGACAGGGTATCAGCTGAAGCACAGCCCAAATCCTGGGGACAGTTAGGATTTATGTGGCATGGAAAAGAGCCTTAAGGTAGGAAGAAACATTCCTCATCGCTTCACCTTCCCTGGCACAAGTAAGAGAAAGTTTTACCAGGCATATCTGCTCACAAGCTATGCGACAGACAGGTAGGCAGCCCCAGAGCACATCCTGTTCTGCCGGATGCCATGAATAAAACCCGAAGCCTTCCAGAGCAAACATCTCCGCCTCACGATTACAGCCTCGTTCTGTCCCCATGGCACCCCTTTAGCGCCCAACGGAACCAGAGCCGTGTGGGCAATCAGAAGAGCAGTTCAGTCCAGAAAAGCAGGCATCATCTGCTCACTTCTGGCACCCCAACCGCACCACGTGAAGGCTTAGAGGTGAGCTGTGGGCAAAGACCCCTCAGAGGTCCGCGTGCAGGACGGCAGAGGGGCGGCAGCCCCGCAGCACCGGGCGGCTCTCCGCCCCACAGCGAGCAGAAGGAAAGAGAACAAGCCCTAACACCCTCCCTTCCCAAACAGGGAAATAAAAACGTTTCGGAACACAAAGAGCCACGTTTCGGGTTCCGTCGCCGCGTTACATAAACGCGGCGCGGCAGAGCGGCTCGGGGGGACCCGGAGGACGCAGGGACCCGGCCGGCACTCACCGATGCCCAGTCCCACCACCACGCGGCCCCCCAGCAGCGTCTCCTTGTCGCGGGCGGCCGCCAGCACGCCGGCCCCGGCCGTGAAGAGGCCGCTGGCCAGCAGGATGCAGGGCCGGCGGCCGCACAGCCCGTTGAGGACGCCGCCAGCCAGAGCGGACAGCGCAGCGGCGCCCACCGTGCCGGAGACCAGCAGCTCCTGCCACAGCGCGTCCAGGTTCAGCTCCCGCTTGAGGAGCAGCAGGGCCCCCGACACCACGCCGGTGTCGTAGCCGAAGAGGAAGCCCCCGAGGGCGGAGAATACGGACACCACGTAGACGAAGCCGGGCGTCTCGTCCCGCTGGAACTGCCGCCGCGCCGCCCGCTCCAGCTCCGCGCCCGACGCCGCGCTGTTCAGGCTGGAGCACGACTCGGCGGCGATCAGGCTGCGCTCGCCCGCCGCCGCCGCGCCCGAGCCGGCGGCCCCCTCCGCCTGCCGCCGCCGCTTCTCGCCCATCAGGTTGCTCAGGCTCCGCAGCGTGTACTCCACATTGTCGCCGGCCTTGCGGGACATGGGACGGCCGCGGCGGGGCCCGCCCCGCCCGGGGGGGGGGGGGGGGCGGGGCTGCCGGGCGGCTCCGGACGCGGCGGCTGCCGGCGCTCGCCCTGCCCGCCCCTCTCGGGCCGCGCTCAGCCGGGCCGCATAGCGCCCAACGCCGCCGTCGGCCGGACTCGAGGGGAAGTTGCCGCCGCTCCCAGCGCCCGGGCGGAGCCGGAGGCGGGGGCGGGCGGGGACAGCCGCCAGCGCGGCCCGGCGGGCGCCAGGGGCCGCCCCTCCGCACTCCGCGCCTGCGCCGAGGGCCGCGCCTGCGCAGCGGCTGAGCCGTGTGGCGGCAGCGGGCTGGGGCGCCGTCCGGCCCCGGGCTGGGAGCGAGTGCTGGTGCGGTGCGGGCTGCCGAGCGGGTCTCGGCGCTTCCCGCTCCTCGCCTGGCCCCGCGGTCCGCCCACTGACAGAGCCCGGAGTAACGGGCATCCCCGCCTAAAGATCGTGGTTAAATGAATAACTCTTATCGCCCGAATAAAGGCAAAACCTAAAGTTGATCTAAAGCTCAGCGGCAGAAGCTAATGGAAAAGCGGAGCAGTTGCGCCCTGGGGAACAGATGTGTTAGCGTGGAGGGGGAAACAGGCCCGGGGCTCGTGCTCGCCTTTGCGCTCAGTGGCGGCGGAGCACAGCGACCCGGTCCGTCCGTTTCAAAGCGTTTTGACTTGGGATTCTCATGAAGAGCGTGAAGGGGAAGATTCCGCTCAGACGGCATAGCGCTATAACGCGCCCTCCCGGCGGTTCGGTGGGAGAGCCGCGCCTCCTGGCGGCGGGCGCCCGAAGTACGAGCGGGTTTCTGCCAGGCGCTGCGGGCTGCGCCGGGCGGGAAAGGTCCTGACAGGGTGAGACCGCCCGCGGGGCCTCAGCGGCGTTAGCGCAGCCTTCCTGCCCACCTCACTGCCGTCTGCCGGGGTGCTCCCCGTGAGCCCAACCGGTAGATGGAAAACGATGGCAATCCCATGGGTCACAGGTGCGCTCAGCCCGCACCCTGCACGTAGTACTAGCCTCGGGGATTAAAACATTAAGAGGGGAGCGCCAAGTCTGAAGGATGCACAGAGCCTTTTGCCTCTGTGTCAGAGCATCCTGCGAAACGCCGATGTGCTGTGCTCAGGTAGTGCCGACTAGAATGGGTTGTGATCAAGCTACGTAGTGATTGCAGTGACAGCTGTGGCACTGGATGGTTAAATATAGCTCAGCTTCCATGTCTGAGAAGCCTCGTCCAGGTAAAAATTGAACATGTTAGCACCCAGTTGTTTTTAATTGAGATTTGGATAATGTGGTGTCATTGGTACAGGGCGCTCCTTATTGCTTTCAGCCATAGGACCCAGCCCAGCACTCCAGCAGGATCCAGGCAAATGCTGTGCTGCAAAAAGCTGTGCCCTCAGGCCCAAGGCTCTCCGGGGGCAGGCTGGCTCACATCTCCAAAAGGCCATCAGCAGAGAGATCTGCAATGTTCCAGAAGCCTCCTGAACTCACCCAGTAAGCACAGCGCTCATTGCTTTCATGTGGAGGCCCCAGTAAAAAATGTGGGACACAGCGCATTAAACAGAAGACAGTCACAGTAAATCCCCAGCCAGCCAGGAATACTCACGCAGAATATTGTTACAGCAGCTGGCTGTCACAAAAACAACCTGTCTTTTTAACAGCCACCTCAGAAGCTGGAGACATTCTGTGTGTTATAGTTAACACAGACTCAGGAGAGCTAACAAAAAGCTTTTTTTTTTTTTTTTTTTTTCCATGGCAGGCCCAATGCAATCAAAAATAAATGTATTTCTTCTTAGATCATGCTGTCAGGATTATCTCTTAAAAGCATTCCCTGAAGAAGCACAACATGGAGAAGTTCAGATGCAGGATATACTACACCTAAGACCGACTGCATGAGGAGAGAGGATTTGTTTGGCTTTTGTATAGATCTTCATTATTGTGATCATCCCTCCATGGTACCTGGATTTCATGGTATCAGCTGCCTCACAAAGGATTTTACAGTAATGTGTGGGGGGTCAGATCCACAAAAGGATTTGGGTGGATTTTAGGCATGTTATTATTTCAGGAGGGTTTAATGTTTAATTGCAAGACTTACAGATTCACTGCACTGGTCATTCTGTCCTGCAAGGTCTGCTTGCAGAACTGTTTGCAAGGCTGTCTTGTGAACTAGATCAAAGAACCTGTCCAGCTTTAGCAAATTCAGCTTTGTAGATTTCAGCATAGAGGAAGAATAATTACAGGATTGTACTACTTATATACGGTTAATACATGGCACACATCAGAAGATGTCTTCCAAAAAGCTACTGAGAGCTTGTGCGTGTGCCCAGACCTCCCCCAGGCCTGAGTAACTGGAAGTTAGTTCCCATCTCAGTGTTTATTGGCACTTGAAAGCAGGTGGATTGATGCCTAAATCTCCTGGCCATTTCAGCACAGCAAGATTTGGCTCTGTTATTTTATAGGTGAATGCTGCATGGCCTCACATGGGAAATGGGAGACCCAAATCACAGATTTGTAATCCTTCCAGTTCCTGCTTTGTGTTTTCTTTCATATATAAAGAACCAATACCAATAGCTGAACAAAAGTTACCCTTCATATACAAAAGCTCTCCTCCACTGGACTCCTTTACGTGGAACTGTAACTTCTTTCTCTCTTGATGTGCAGGGTGAATTTAAAGCCAATTATTTATCTTCTACGTTGGTTATCTGAATCTGTAAACCAAGGCAACACTATTGACAACCTCTGTAAAATCCATTATAATGAATTTGTTAGTAAGGAACCTACTGAATTTATTAGGAAGGAGACATGCATTTAATCCTACTGGTCAAATGTTATGGATAATTTACTTAGCAAGTAGAAAAGTTACAGTATTAGCACTGGAAGAGGCTGTGGATGGTGGTGCAAAAAGCTGACAAAATGGTGTGGTGACACATTCCTTACCCAATAGGCAGAGCTAGTTGCAGCACAGCTGAGGCTGCAGAGGACTTCATACTACAGGCTTTTTAAATTTCATATAACTTCACCAAAGTCATCATCTGAGCTCTCATTTTGCATAACTGCCCTCTCTTTCATTCTAAATATATATTTATAAATACATAAGTCTCAGCAAATCCACTTCAGACCCATTGAAAACGCAATTGTAAGAAACACGTGTTTTCTGAAGTTACATTTTCTGCCTATTTTTACAGTCTCCAGCTTTTCCATGTGTTACAGCAGGACTGGATTTTTGGCAGGAGAACAGTTCCTTTCTGCCTTTAGCTGTCAAAAGAAAGATCCAGCAAGCTTTGCCTGAAAGTCTCTGGTAGAGTCAGCAGCAAGATGTGCAGGAGTGTGCCTCTGGATCCCAGCGGGCTCTGCCTGGGTCTGCAGCTACGTGCACCAGCCTCCCTGCTGGCATCCAGGGTTGAGATGTGGCACTGCTTTAAAAAACTTGGCTTTGCACATGCTGAAAGTAAGGGGCAGTACAAAATGGAGACTTCTACTATTGTATGATATGGGGATTTTTACATCCACACACATGAAATGACAACATCAGGTTACAATCCTTATAAAGTCAATTGTACCCTATAAAACCTGTGGCTACTTTTAGTTGGAACACCTGGCAACATCAAAAATCAAGGTGTTGGCACAATGCTACCCACAAGACAAGAAAGGAACAACTGCTCTTGATACACTGTATTTTCAAACAAATATCTCTCAACACAGAATGGTTTGTCTGCCTGCCAAGGAGAAACCTCTCTGAGCACTGCATATGGCTGGAGAAGAACAGGTCCTCCCCAGCAAGCCCCTCTCTTGGGATCAAATCATAACCACAGTAATCCATAGAAGATCATAGTTCATGGGAAAGATGCATGCAGAGGAAAGAGAAGCATGTGCAAAACATCTGCTTTATTAAAACAATCAAAAACAAACAAGCAAAAACCACCACCAACAAAAACAAATAAAAAGTAAATAAATTGGAAAAGCTTTTAGGCTTATGCATGACTTCATGCTATTCTGCATTCCTAGAAAAGCAATGGCTGACCCAGCATGAGTTCACTGCTTCATAAGCTCTCACCTCATCAAAGTAAAATCTAACCTTCAAATCTAAGTCTCAAGAAGTGGGAGCTATATGTTTCAAGTGGCAGGTTAAAAGCTGTCTTTGCTGTCAGCTCTGACATTGCAGTGCCACTGAGCAGAACACCAGACAGAATTGCTTTATCTGAGATTTGCAAATGAAGCTGAAAACCCGGGGAGGAATTCAGCGACTGTTTCAGAGAGGTGGTCATACCCTCTGGATCTGACAGATGGTGAAGCAGTTAAAACTTGTGGTGTTTTTTGTTGTTGTTTGGGGTGAGGTGTTTTTTCTGGGGGGGGAGGCGGGATGACAGACTGCAATGGGGGATAAGCAAATTTGAAAAGGAAAGAGAGCTACATGTGTTCCTTGTACAAAGGCAAATTACACATGAAGAGTGCCTACAGGGGGCTGATATGAGCACGGACATCATCCTGACACAGGAAAGATGAAAGCAAGCACTTCCCACAGCAGCATGGGGAACAGGCTGGAGCAGGAGCAGGCTGGGGCTTTCATCTGCCGTCTTGCTTATTTCTTTCTGTATCTGTACTTCAAAAGTCCTATTTTCAGCACAGTAGATAGGTATCTTTTTTAATCTATTGGTCTGATTTGTTGGACTGGCAGTATTGGAATCTGCTGCACTCTTTAAAATAGGTCCTCTGTGAAATGCTTTATGAAACTTCCTTTAGCAATTTCAACAAATTCCCTAGCAAGCATCAAACCTGCCACAGTGATAATTTTAAATATGAAATTAAACACACATGAAAATCACATTAATAATGATTCTTGACTCCTTCAAAGCAACTGATGTGAATATATGCTAATCTCACAGGAAGGTTAATGCTATCAGTGGGAAGTGTAGAGCAGTCTCTGATATTTACTTCAAAATGATGCCACAGATTTTTTAAAAGCCTCTATGAGCTTGACTGTGACTCTT